GTCAGCCAAGGCATGCGTACACAATGTTAAAGTCCTATGTACGAGGGGCGTTTCGGGGGGAGGGGGGGGGGTCAATTTTTAGACAAATTTTTGCGTACGTACTTATTGAATGGTCCCTTATCATATGATACTTTACGTGTACATTAATTGCATACAACCTTTTGGTACATTTGCAATGGAAATGAGATTTTTGAATAGTCTATACACTATATAAAAATGAACAAGTCTTATTATTTATTTATTACAAAATTATAAATTTAATTTAATGATTATTATACATAATTATTATTTAATCACCACTTGTGATATTTATCAATAAAAATAACATTTAACTGGATTTTATGCTAATTATTAGTAAAATTCATGTTTAGAGACTATAATAGCCTATTATTAATAGGAAAGACATAAAAGTGGATGGGGAGTGTGGTTGAGGGAACAGGTAGTTATCGCTTCTCGACCTTTTGGCTAATATCACAGTAAGTATTTTGTTAAATAAATGAATATTGATGTTATTTTAATAGAAATTTATTTAATTTTGATTTTCCAAAGGGGGCTCAAAAAATGATTTTTTGAGAATTTCCGTTTCAGCAAATCTGAATGCAACTAAACTTTATCATAAAGTTTGGTTACTTTTGACAAGACTTTCACACAATCAATGAATAACTTGAATGCTTGAGCGATTGAGTTCAGGTGTTGTACACTATATTATTCAATGGCTTCAGTGCTAACATTAAAAAACATTCATTTTGATATTTGTAAGAATTGATTTGAAGTAAATTAAAAATTAACTATATTAATGAAAAGAAATATAATTTTATTGAACGTGCAAATCATGATTCAATGGGTGTTGTGATGGACAGTGGGTTTGTGAGCACTTCTTGAGACTGTGCCACTTTATAGGGCGGATCTGTTGGTGACAAAGTGTAGCTTAATATCTCATACAATCCCCATAGAGGGTCAGGATATTAAACTAATTTTTATGGACATGTGAGGTGTCAGGGCAGCCTCTGCTCTCACTACGGGTCGACCCGACTCTGACTACCGTCGGGAGTGGCCCACCATTTGGTTAGTCAAAAAATAGATACATTTTTATAAATACATTCATTATTTTAGTCATATTTTATTAATTTATTGGTTATTAAATAAAATTGTTTTAATGACAATTGAGTTATTTTGTAATAATTGTAATAATAGTTATCAATGAAAAACATTCAAACTTTCAAAGGTTTTTATTCAATAAAGATTTAGTAAATTTAGTTTAAAATTTGGCGCATTTCTAAGTGATAAATGAATAATGATATCAAATTAGTAAATAGTCATAGTTATGAAAATTAACGATTAAAATACCTTGACATTAGCCATGGCCTCCCTGAGCACAGAGCACTCCTGTTCATTATCTTTGTCCAAAATGTGTGGATTCTTCTCAACCACTTTCACAACATAACTCTCAATCTATAAATGCATTTAAATTAATTAACAAATGATAACCTAATGAACTGAGAGCACAATTACCGATTTCTGGACGTCCTTATGGCACACCTTGGTCAACTCAAACTTACTCAACAAATCCACGTACAAACTCTTGAGCACAGAATCGGTCTG